ATGTCATCTTCAAGTAATTGGAGGAATGTTTTATTCTAGTTTAAGAACAGCAAGAAAGTAATAGATACAATGAATCAATCTGTTATGTTTTTATCTTACAATATTTAAGTGACGTCATTAAAGCTGGAAAAATTACAGATTCATTTTTATGTAGAATTACCGTAGTACAATAAATTGAGATGATGGCACCTTAATATCTAGTTATCTATCTGTTATTTAATGTCTACTTGAACAGTTTTTTTGTAACAACTCTTGTTAGAGAGAAATGTATTGTAAACATCTAACAAGTGCATGTTCTCTTTTTATTTTTTTCTTTCTAAAACGTAAACTTACAGAGTATGCATTTTTAATGGCTTTGTATGACATTAGGGCATCACTGCTGGTTCCACTCAACTTCAACTGAAGTCCATTGTATTTTTGAAGTGAGTTTAAATTCTGCAAACAATAAAAAGTCTTATCCTGCTCCCCATCATAATTGTGAGCACCAAACATGCTTGATCTATGTAGGAAAATCTAAACATTGTAGGAAAAGTACAGTTCTWATAAGATTGGTCTGTAATTTCCAAATCAGTAAATGCAGATTTTCCTATATAGACTGCTGATGTTGTTTGTACATCTCATGTACCTGATTTCTAAAGAAGCTCATACTGTGCAATAGTGATACAACTCGAGCTTTTTGTCTTTTTGCTCTTTGGGTTGAAGGGAGATGATTATCATCATTGAAAATGGTTTTCAAAAGCATCTCGAATAKTAGTCCAGGAGCTGCAGTATCGCAAAATGTCTCCATTTTTGCTGGATCCAACGGGTCGCTTCACCTCCATTTTGGGAATGGGTTAAAAAAGCTTTGTAAAACTTTAGAAATAAAGTTTCAAATCTTTCATTGCCTGGCAATAAAGTGAGTTAATTGATTTAAAAGTGTATCAGAATATAATCTGTTTTATGTCAAATAARTTATCATCAAACGTCTCCCTCAATTTTACATTTTCAGCTTTAAGCTGATCTTTGCTGTTCTTCAGATCTTCATTTTCATCCTTCAGACTTTGAATTTGAGGGAGAAGTGCTTCTTTATCATCATAACAAGTGTCCTCAATTTCGGTCACAGACTTCTGTTAATCATAAAACAATCCTAGGAGTTATTAACTATATTTATGTAACTATTTACCTTTCTTTTTTGAGGACTTTTGTACTATAAAGGATGCTGAAGAAATACTTCTAAGCTATCAGCTTCCGACAAATGACGATGGCATATTTTAGTGCTCACKTTTTTGGAGCCAAAGGATTCCATAACAGGAAACAATCGAGTAGGGCATTCTTTAAGGACTTTAAGAGATTGACCACAAGGACCAGGCAGGGGAAAACAGCATGTCTCATTACGTAACGCTTGCTGTCGATGCAATTTGCATAAGTAAACATTGTAAAGAAAACCACAAGCTCTTGATTCAAGACCAGAACAAAACGTCACAGGACCACTACACGTACTGTGAAAATTTGAGCTCCGTAAACGAGTAACTGATATAATTCGCAAAACATAACTGTCCATTAACTTACTTTCTATTTTACATAGTACTCGACGAAAAAAAAGTTGAAACTTTTTTCCCGTTCAGAGAAAACCCCGAATTGCACGGCCGCGTCAAAGTTTGGCGGGAAAAATGCTCATAAAGGGCGCGAAAATGTAGCTCACACCGGAATAGAATATATATAGACTTCTTTTTCATTGACATTTTTATTTATTAAGCATTCAGATATACATTAAGGTTTATTAATTCACAATAAGTATAATTTTACCCAAACAAGTACATCTAAAACTGCACTAAGTATTTTTGAATGGCAATTTTGTCTTATGCGATTTGTAGTTCAACATCGTATCATTTCTCTGGCCATTAAAATCACACTATAATGTACAAAATATAAAAGTTTGAACCTTAGCACGGTTAGTGCGAGCTTATCCTGGTAAAAATTGTAAACGTCCTTCGTGAAGTTCACGAGCAGCTTCTTCTTGAGTTACCCAGAAAAAGTCCAATTACTCAAGCAATCGATGAATAAATGGCAGAAATATGAAGATATTTCGAATCTTTAAGGTCGTAGTAACGTCTGAGTGAAAGGAATTTTGGTATAACCAACGCACTACTTATAAAATCCCGAGACGAAACTCGGCATCCTTCATCCCCGCGTTTTTATTAAGGTTTCTGGTCTGACATAATCTGAGCACATTATGTGACGATCTAAGCAAGTTTTTTTAAAAAACTCGATGGCTTTTGGCAGTAACGGCTTTCCATACAGGGGGGTCCCTTACGTTTTCGGCTCTGGGCAAGAAAACGAAGGCTCTGGGTTTACTGTGTAATTTTGAGTTTTGCGGAGTACTGGAACACAGGAACTACGTCATAGGCAGGGGTGGGTGACGAAATGATTTGGTAGTTCATACGCGGCCATATTCTCCAAATCTTGTAACTGACTATTCTTACAAATAGAAGTTATTAAGAAAGGAGATTGACAGTGTTACTCAAAGTCACATGCTTCCAAGAATTAGTATGGCTATTTGGATTTGTATGGAGTCCAGTTAGAGGTAAAGTAGGTCCGTTTTATGTATGCATCATACCCAACTTTTTGAAGCTTCCTCCAGGAATTTTAGTGTGTTGCAAGTAGTTTCTACCCGGAAACAGACCAGTTTCCGTATCCAGAGAAACTTTATTTTACCTTTGTCATTAGTGTTTCATTATGAGCATTTTCCATGTACTGTCTGTAATATTTACATGCGTTTTTCTTGACGATATGTCGTAGTGATCATTTAAAATTTCTTCKTGTCATCTCGGCTAAGTTTGAGAGCGTTCATTTCTGTAGGAAATTATTCTCCAGCCGTTAAAATTCGTACTGTAGATATTGTGTAGGTTATTTTCATCGCAGCATAAGTGCAGATTTTAAAGCAGAGATAATTGAAATCATGTCATCATACCCATACAGGTTTTGATACGCCTGTGATTCGAGGTTATTGAAGTCAATGAAAACATCAACTATTGGATTGCTAATAGTGTACAGCCGTTTATTTAAACAATAAAGAATATATTTCCGTGATCTCTTGGTGAAATAGTTCATGCGGGATGTTGGGAGAACACAAAAAAAGATGTAGAAAATCTAAAGCTACAGACAAGACATTTTCAGCCWTTGTTTTTTCCAACATCCCAAGTGATCTATAAATTCGACAAGAGATCATGAAAATTTATTCTTAATTGCTTTTATTGTGTACCTACCTAGTCCTAAAAAAGGTGAAAACTACCTAGTCCTAAAAAAGGTGAAAAATAATTTGCCCAGAAAATTTTTCTTTGCTGATGGATATTTAATTCTCCGATCATTAGCCATCCAATCAAATCTTTTAATTGAGTAAAACTGATGAAAGAAAAACATGTAAAATGTAAAGCTGATAAAGCTCCTTGCTTGAAAAGTTCAAAATCACACAATAAGAAATGAAAACAGTTAAAATCTACGAAGAAATGTCTTRTGGATGCCTGTGAAGTTGGTGTAGTTTGCCRTTTTTAACTATAACAAGGTGTTTTTCCAGAAACTAAGCGAGCTACAGCGAGAAGCAAACTCTTTTTTAACTGAAATTTGAGACTTTTTGCTTGTACACCAACTCCGTGCGCAGTGCCCTGTGTCTTCCACTGTGAATTTTACGTCGTTCCTCTTTTTTTCGCATGTTCTGGCGATGTGTTGACATCTGTGCCGGCCATTTTGAAAAACAAATCTTCCGCTGCCCTCTCCACTAGAGTATTGTAAACTTCGAGGAAACATCGCCAAATATGGTGTCGTACAATTTTAAGACGTATTAAAATTGTACCAGCCTTTTATTGTCGTACACAACAGTTGTAAGCATGTAGTAGGKTCTAAATTTACGATCCGTGTTGTAAGGATATCATAAGCAGGTTGCATACAATGGTTGTAAGGAAAAGTTGTACCGTTTAAGTTGGCTTAAGACACTCTTCTGGAAAAGGCAAAAAACGAAACAGTTGCAAACTGAAGGTCTCTTTGAATTGTTGTTGTTAGTAAAAGGTCGCTTCCCTAGTCGTTCTGTGACAGATTTCAGAACCTACCAAGGTAAATTTAGCAAATTTTAACATCCAAAGAATGCAATCAAGCAATATTTTGCCTATAGGTGCGAGTCACTTGGCACTTGACCATTCGCTGTCTCATAGATATCAACAAATCCAAGGGTGCTCTTGGGTTGTGCAATCGAGAAATGCAAGTTTGCTGAGGTGGATGTCAAAGGGGTGTCTCTTGTTTTACCTGTAGAGAATTATTCTTATAAAAATCCTTAAATGCAAGATAAGGATGATGGAGGTATTCAAAAATGTCGAGTTAGTGCTTGAAAAGCGTGAATTTCACATTGCAAATTAAGCAAGAAAAGTCAGCTTTTCGCTGTTGTCCCAGGAAGTGCAAAACCCAGAATTAAGAGTCCATATCAAAACAGAAGTCTCATTCGACCAAAAAACATGCTTTCTGCGATATGCTTTGAATTGGAATATTGAATTTGTTGTCTACTCTTAAGTTCTGATTTATCGTTTATATTGCTTATTTATAATGGTAATTGAACTGAGTGGAGTGCAATTTGGTTCAAAATCAAACACGTGATTCAAAATCGCACAACTGCGTAGCGGGAAATATTCCACCCTATATGGCCTTTTTCAGGACAGGATTATTAATTTTCACTTTTTTAACTCGAAGATTGCAAAGCAATCAAAGAGTTATTAGAGGGGGACGGATCTRTCACTCACTCAATCAGTCACTCACATTCCTGTAAACTTGAGTCTGCGTTACTTGTGTTCAGGACTATTAATTTATTCTCATTGTTTTCTATTAATTTACTCATTAATTTACTGTTAACAGGTTCCCTGTTCTATTTTTGATTGAATTTATTTATTTTTGGCAAAGAAAAAAATCTAAAGAAATGTCAGCTCCTCTGATTCTCGAACCTCAGACCTCTGAATTAGAAATCGAAGGCACTACCACTCGGCCACGCATACCAATGTCAAGATTCGAAGTTAAAAATAATTAGATTTTAATGAAAAAACTGTATCATAAATTGTTTACTTAAAATTCTATATTTGTAAAGTAATTATAATTTGATTCGTTGTACCGTTTAGTCACAAAGGTCGAAGCAAGCAAAGAAGGCTGGCAGATCCTCCAAATTTGTTTCGAAAATAATTGTGCAAAGGTGCTGGCCCGTGCTTATCGAGAACCCAAGTTAATATTAAAATGAAATAATGAAGACTCTGTTGTAGAATTTYCCAGCTCTACGCAGCTCGCAATCAAAGGAACTGTATTCTTTCTTGCACTCCTGTATTCATTTGTCTTTAGCTAAACAAGCAGGAGACTGGGTACTAGTTATCCAAATTAACCTACCATATTTATCCATACATGTATAAGCCGCTCTCGAG